ACAGTGGCTCCGGTGGCTTGGCCCTGTCATTCGAATGGACTCCGACGCTCCATCTCTGAAAGTAGACAGCTCGGAACCCTCTGGTGGTAGCAGAGGAAGAGGGAGGCCCCCCCTGCGATGGAAAGACCAAGTGGAGAAGCACTTGTCTTCACTTGCATTTCCAATTGGCCTCCATTGAAACACAATGCCGGCGAACGGCGAATTTTTCGCCGCGAATGTTCGTTGTAGAAATTAAAACACACTGACGTATATGAGAAAGCGCACAACTAAAGCAAACGACAATGTCCGCCCGACGACTGTTCGCGACGATAGACTTATTTCTATTGTCGTCGCTGGCAGCAGCGGCAAAATACGATCCATTTGCCGAAATGGTAAATATTCTCAGGTTTTTAAATCGAAATTGAAAAATATGTATTAGTTTTTGTTAAGAATTAGTATATTTGTTGTTTGTAAAATTTTCAGTCTACCTTGTCATAAGCAGCTGATTTCGTTGTCGTCGTAGTTGTGTTTTACTGAGCGAAATTTTTGTGCGAAAGTTGCTAACAACGGCGCTCTACTCGGCCAAAATTCGCCCATCTTCGATATTGTGTTTTAACGGTTAGGCGGTTACAGCACCAAATAAGAAAAATAATAAGAAAGCCAAAAATTACACATGGTCACCCAGTTATATTTGACAAAGTTTTGTTCAGGTGACATAAGGCCCGTGGCCATATTGAAAATTGACGATATGACCACATAAGGACCTTATGTTCGTTTGATATGGTCACAATGTCAACTGATCTTATGACCGTTTTGAAAAAATAGTAATAACACAATGCCACTAGTACACTGATGAAAAATTAAAGATATAAAATTCAAAGTTTCAGCGAAAAATTAGTACATCAACGAATTAAACAGACGGATATGTCTGAAAAGAAAAAATGTGTGTTAGGAAGGTAGATGCAAAAACTTGGCACTGTGAAAGGTTGACCTACTAGGTATATACGTGGTGTATAAATCACTTATCATTTTAGCTCAAAGTCTAGGATTTTCCAGTTATCACGCAAATTATGATTTTTTAAGAAGAATATCAATCATTTCTTCATAAAAGAGAGACAATCAATTCAAATTTTCTAAAAACTTATTCACGTCTAACGTTACTAAGTATTTCGCCAAGAAAGTCAACCCAGAAAACACAGTTTCAAACGTTTGAGAAAATTTTATTTCTCAATTTGATATCAAATGTTTTCTCAAATGATTCTCAAATTGGAAACGAGGTTTACATTTTACATTTGAAATTCATTTGAGATTGATTTGAAGAAATATGGCAATTGTCAAACGATATAAAAGTGCGCAGTTAAATCAAAAATTGTAAGAATAAAATTAAATTAAATTAAAAAAAAAACAATGAATAGAAAAAAATATTCAAAGGGAAAGCCCACAAATAATGGATTTGATGTTTACGCGGATTGAAGATGCTGCAGCCCTTCAAGACGAATTTATTAGAAACTAGCTTTTACCCGCGGGTTTCCCCCACGTCTTTATACAAATATGAAAAATACTTTATGTAAAGATGTTATATTTCATTTCTTCTCTAATTTTAATATAGCCGTGATAGCATAATATGGTAGAATAGTTGTATAGCTGGGGCGATATGCAATAAAAAGCAATAATAGGTTTTTGGCACACCAGGTGTTTTTATTTATATTAAAATATCTCCAATAAATTATTCAATAGTAGAAATACCAACGTATTGTAATAACTAAATTTTAGCTGTCTAATTTCTAACGAATAATAGCTATAATATTATTCCACAGCATGTTTTTCGTACTTCAGAGCATCTATTAACATATATGCATTTTCCAATGCAATTATCATGTATTTTATTTTCGATAAAGAGTTGGGGTTTATTTTAAGGCATTCTTGTTTATTGTCATTACAAAAGCGAAGCGAACTGGAAACCGAAGTGTTTTAAATTCGAAAGGCATATCAGAAGGAATTAAAGGGCTCATGTGACTTGTGGTTCCGAAGTTATAGATGATAAAAAATTCCACACCTTTCCACACGCTCACTTTTACAGACTCACTTATATACACATATCTTACTATAAGCACCCACCATTGATACGTCTGCATACCAAATTTCAATTTTATGTGACTTATTAAAAATTCCATGACTATGAGATGAGCCACGCCCCCTTCTACAATTTATATCTTACTATAAGAACCTACCATAGGTATGTTGTTGAAATTCCTTCTAAACAACACTACCTTCAACACGCCTGCCATGTAACACTACCTTTAATACGCCTACCATGTACAACTACCTTTAGCACCCACACTGCCGTCAATGAATGACAGGTTATAAGACAGAGAGCGAAAAGTGAAAAATCGGTTCATAACCCAGCAGCGGCATCGAGCAGACGTTCTACGAAATAAAATACATTTCTTTTCAATAATTTAATATTACAAACAAATAGTTTAATAT